GTGCATTCTCCAAGTCCCACACACGTCTAAAAACATCATCATGTAAAGCACATATTAGATAATAAAGAGCACGATGATCAAGTTGTAAGCAATCCTCTTGTGCTTGGGTTAGGTTGTCCTTATCCAAAGCATCACGAGAAAAAACAACAACAATGATCCACCATGCCTTGGGACCCAAATCACGGAAATGATCAAGCATATGACGTTTCCACCGTGCATAGTTTGTGCCATCAAAAATGTGTGTGTCACAAATAACCTCTAGCCCAAAGTTCGCCATCCTCTCGGGTCGGTGAAGACCACAAATGAGAGACCGGGCTCTGATACCACTTGAAAGGGTCGAGATGGCGGACTAGAGGGGGTAAATAGTCTTTTCTAAAATTAATCGCGTCGGCTAACCGATATAAATACGGAATTAAAACAATCGGTCTAGCCAAGACTACACCCCTCTATATATGCTCACTAGCACCTTGCCAAGATACTAATTATGCAACTAAGGTGCCGGGCTAGCTAGAGCTCTCCTAAACAATTCTAGGAGCAAGGTCACACAAACATATGCCACTAGTACTTTAAGCAACAAGGAAGCTCCTACACATGCTAGTAAGCAAAAGCACAAAGCCAACTAAGCTCACTAGCAAAGCTCAATAACAAGGCAACCAATGCCTAATTAGAGTGCGCAAATACTTAGCTACACAAACTAAGCAATGTGACTAACAAGGTTACTAAAACCAAATTAGCCACGCAAGGGAGCTACTTCTATGCTACACAAGCAAGAAGATAATTAGCAAGCTACACAAGCTATCTAATTATAAGAGCAACTACACAAGCTTAATATGTATAAAAATAATTGCAAGCTTGTGTAATGGGGATGCAAACCAACAGGAAGAACAAGGTTGACACGATGATTTTTCTCCCGAGGTTCACGTGTTTGCCAACACGCTAGTCCCCGTTGTGTCGACCGCTCACTTGGTGGTTCGGCGGCTAATTAGCATCACCCGCTAAGCCCGCACGTCGGGCGCCGCAAGAACCTACCCCTTGAGTGAGGGTAGCTCAATGACACGCTTTACTAGAGTTGCTCTTCGTGGCTCCCGTGGGGCGAGCACAATATACCCCTCACAAGCACTTCTTCGGAGCACCGCACAAGCTTCTTGCGGGCTTCGACGGAGACCACCACCAAGCCGTCTAGGAGGTAGCAACCTCCAAGAGTAACAAGCACCACCGGCTTGCAACACGACCACCTAGTGCCACTCGATGCAACCTCACGATGCAATCGCACTAGAATCGCTCACTCACACAATCGAATGATCACTATCAAGTATATGTGTGATGGAGGGCTCCCAAGCACTCACAAGCATGGACACTAAGTCCCTTGAGGTGCTCAGCACCAGCCATGGCCGAGGGCCACTTCTATTTATAGCCCCAAGGGCTAAACTAGCCATTACCCCTTCACTGGGCAACGGTCGGGCCGACCGGACGCTCCGGTCGTGTTGACTGGACGCTGGACCTCAGCGTCCGGTTGCCCGCAGACGGCCACGTGTCCTGATTCCAATGGTCACTTGACCTGACCGGATACAGTAGCTTCAACTGACCGGACGCTGAACCCCCAGCGTCCGGTCATTTCCAGTAAGGTACCGACCTCGACCGGACGCGTCCGGTCACACTTGATCGGACGCAGCCAGCGTCCGGTCACACTCCAGCTTCTGCGTCATCGTACGTAAGCCTGACCGGATGCAGCCTGCCAGCGTCCGGTGCATTCAGATCCAGCGTCCGGTCAGTTGACCGACGCCAGCATCTTCGCGACTAACTCGTTTTCACTTTTAACTTCATCACCCTTGCTCCAATGTGCTAACCACAAGAACTTGCATCCGGCGTAATAGAAAATAGGCATTCTATTTTCCTGAAACACCACCTCCTTTGTAAATGTGCCAACACCACCAAGTGTACACCACCATGTGTATGTGTGTTAGCATTTTCACAATCATTTCCCAAAGGATGTTAGCCACTCAACTTGCCACGCCACTCGATCCTAGCGACAATGCAAAGTTAGATCACTCGAGTGGCACTAGATGATCGATATGCAAACAAGTTTGCTCCTCTTGATAGTATGGTCATCTATCCTAAACCCGGTCATAAACTTCTCTACACACCTATGACCGGTGAAATGAAATGCCCTAGGTTATACCTTTGCCTTGCGCATTCCATTCCATCTCCTCCAATGTCGATGCAACACATGCACCAACACGATCAACAATGATATAATCCACTTCATATCATCACATGATCATATTGGTTCATCGATCTTGACTCTACTTGCTCTTCACCATTGCCATCGTCCATCGGCGCCAAGTCTTGCTCAAGCTTCACCGCCACGCGGTCCATCACTCCAAAGCCTTCGACTTGCCCTTCACGCTTGCAACCGGTCCATCAAGCCAAGTCTTGTCTTAATCTTCTCCACCTTGATCACAAGACTCAATGTCATGTCTCATGTGCATTTAAGCTTCTTCATCATCACATGTGTGAGCTTTGCAACATCTCCAAGCCATTTTCACCTTCATGGCATATGTTGCTCATACACATGTACCTGTGGACTAATCACCTGTGTATCTCACATAAACACAATTAGTCCACCTAGGTTGTCACTCAATTACCAAAACCAACAAAGACCTTTCACCGGCGTGCTCCGGGAGTCCGTCGTGCCGCTCGACCTCTTCAGCAAGGCGCGCACCACCTGGAAGGTCGGCATCTTCGCCTCGCTCCAGTTCTGGACCCGCATCTCCTGCCACTTCCTCTTCAACTACCCCAGCAACGACACCGCCATGCCCATCTATTGCCGCTCCAAGTCACCGTAGCGTCCCCTCTCCGCTCCGGCCTCCAGGCAGGCAAGCAGGAAGGAAGGAAGGCGTGGGGGTGGGGACCAGATCTAGGCCCGTCGTGGCCGGATCTGCCGTCGGCCACCAGCCAGCACCCATGCACTACCTTGGCCGGGGCTCAGCGCCGCCGCAGTTGCGCGGGGAAGGCGAGGAGGAGGGCGGGGGAGGCCGGATCTGCGCCGGAAAGGCGAGGAGGAGGGCGGCGGAGCCGAGGGAGGGATCGAGCTGCGAGCAGGTGGAGGCGGTGCAGGAGTGAGCTACGCGAGGAGGCTTTTTATACGTGCAGCATTGGTAGGGGCGGTCGGTGATCGAGCTGCCCCTATAAATGACAACCTCGGGGGCGGCTGGTGAGTGAGCCGCCCCTACAAATCCGATCTATTTGTAGGGGGGCTCGTATCACCAGCCGCTCCTGCTGTTCTATTTGTAGGGGCGGCTGGTTTCTGGCCTCCCGAGCACGCCACTATAGGGGCGGCTCCATCACCAGCCGCCCCTACAAAAAATTGTTCCGTTGCTAAAGACCGTTTTTCACGTAGTGTGGCTGGGAATTTCGTTTCCTAGGGCCTGGCGATGGGTGCATTAAAACCCGCGTTGGCAAGGCCCAGTCCGTTCTTCAGGGAAACAAACAGGCACTGGTGACTCCAACGGGCATGGCCTAGAGGCTGAGCCAAGGAAACAAATAGGCCCCACTGCGTCTCGGCAGAACGAGCGGATTCGATTGATTTGAGTGAACGAGTGTGTCCTGAATCTTACCTGCATATTCCCTTACAGGAGCCGCTCAGTTCCACTCGTTTTGGCCCATCTTTGTGTTTGGTTATGAGGATGAGTCACCCTTTTTTTTGGTTGGAGGGATTCGTAGGATCATGATGATACAATTTTTAACACCGTTAGTAGACATCATTTGCGGACCCCACCTACTATTCTCTCCAGTAACTTTCTCGTTTTAGTTTTTCTGGTCCAATCGTTGCCCATCCGAGAGTTTCTTCAGCCGCATCTCGTCTTCTTCGCGTCGTCGAGAGAGATTAGATCGAGTGTTGTGCCTCCCCACCTTGCCGGGAGCTCGGGCTCCCATGAGAGAGAGGAGCCGACATGCCGCCAGGAGGGGAGTTGACACCGCGCCGCCGCTGGGGGAGGAGTTGCCGCTGCCGCCGCGAGCTCGATGCGGGAGGAGCTGACCTTTGGCGACCGCGACCTCGGCGCGAGGAGGATCCGCTGGTGCCTCCACGAGCGCACGCGAGGAGGAAACACCCACCCGAAGAGACGAACAAAGGACGCCGTCGACAGGGGATGACCCCATCTGCTCATTTTCAAGGGCGGGAGCGTCCCGCATCTATGCAGCATATTTATTACTTTCGAGTGTCGACCCATCCCTCAGTGTCCTCCATCCAACACAAGTAAAAAGGAGGATCCACTCATTCCATCCCTGTTCGTCCCACGAACCAAACACACCCAAGCCAGACACAGCCAACCCCGTCCCCGCTCCTGGGCTCCTGGCCCAACCTCGCATCTTCGTCGTGGCCCAGCTTAGGGATGAAAACGGTATGAAAAATATTTCGAACCGAACGCATCGTTTTCTATATTTGATCTGATCGAATTTGTATTTTTAGATAAATTCAAATTCGATTCAAAATACGGAATACGGAACACCAAATTCGAAATCACGGGAAAAAAAAAGATCTGGACGTTTTCCGACTATTTTCTAAACCGAATTTGACCCAATTACAGCCCAGGCCGATGAGAACCCTACTCTCTATCTCCAGTTCTCCACTCCCGTCTCCCGTATCCTCCCTCCCCCTGGCGGCGCTCCGTACCCTATCCACGCGACGCGACCCCGCCGGCCGCGCCTCCGGTCGCCGCGCCTCCACCCGACCCAGCCGGCCGCCCGCGCGCCCACTCCCCACACGGTTGGCCCCAACTACGAGTTGGCATCGGTGTCCCCCGCCCCTACCGCTCCCACTCTTTTGCTCAAAGAAAAAAATTCAAACCCTAACCCTATCCTGACGGAGGCGCCAAGATCGGACGGAGCGTGGCGGCGGCGCGGTGCGGGCGTGCGGCTGCCAGTGCGCGGCGCAGCGCTATCTCCTCTGCGGTTCTGCGCGCAGTGGTGGCCTCTCGAGACGCGGAACAGTCGGCGCGATGGCCTCCCCTGACGCGGAACAGCCGGCGCCGACGGAGCCCGCGCGGTGGCGTGACCTCGACATGCTCCTCTCCCACCCCGGGAACCTCGTGGAGGCCTCCTTCGATCCCAGCCCCGGCGTGAGTGGCCTGTCCTCGATCCCTCCTCCTCCGTTGCTTTCTCGCGTTTTTACTCCTATAAGTGATTGGTCTCATTGGTTGATCCTCGTGCGCAGCTGAGAGACCTACTGGGCAGCCTCGTGGAGGTTTTGGTTGTGGGCGCAGGTGGGCTCGGCTGCGAGCTCCTCAAGGACCTGGCCCTCTCCGGCTTCAAGAAGCTGCACGTCATCGATATGGACACCATCGACGTATCCAACCTCAATCGCCAGTTCCTCTTCAGGTCCGTATGGTCGTCGCCCCCACCCGTTCCCCATTGGTCTCCGCGAGTGGATTCTCATTTGTTGATTATCTGGCGAGCTGGAGGGAGATGATAGGGTTTATGGAATTTTTGCCACACTGACATTCTAAGGGCATGCTTGGATGAGCTAGGGCTAGTTACTAGTTGGGCTAAAAATTAGCTCAAATTAGTTGAGGTTGGTTAGATAGTTGGCTAACAACTAGTTGAAGACTTGGCTAAAGAATTAGCTCACCTATTAGCCTCTTGTTTGGATGCACTATGACTATTTTTAGCTAGCTAGCAATTAGCTCTTGTATCCAAACAGGCCCTAAATGTGCGGCTTTTGCCAAAGGACGCCGAAAAACTGATCTTTGCTGCAGGACACCATAATCTGTGTGTATTTTCTTCCAGACACAATTTACTGTCCTCCACCCGATGTTAGAAAAATGCATCCTCACAGAGACACATTTTTGAGTTGGGAAAGAATTCTTCGCTCTAAATTCACATCGAGGCTAAAATTTGTCTTCTTTTTGTCATCACATAAGCTGAAGCCTCAATTCATTGCAGTCTCAACTATTGCGTGCCTTCATATCATATATACTTATATATTTACTTGTCATCTTTATTGCCTCAACTGGAGCTGGCTGTCCTGTTGTACAGAGTTCAAGATGTCGGGAAGTCCAAGGCTGAAGTAGCAGCGAAGAGGGTTATGGAGCGAGTTAATGGGGTGAACATTGTCCCTCATTTTTGCAGCATTGAAGATAAAGAGATAGAGTTCTACAGTCAGTTCCACATAATTGTCCTCGGTCTGGATTCAATTGAAGCTCGAAGCTATATCAATTCTGTGGCTTGTGGTTTCTTAGGTATGTTTTTTCCATACCATTTTTTTAGATATATTCTCTGACTCTGAGTAATAGGGTTCAAAAGGAGGCTACAACCTTAGGTCTACAGCATGTCCTTGTTCTATGCTAATATGCTATTGTGGCTGACTTGCTGTAACATTATGCCTTGAGAATTGCAATGAACTTTTTTTGTGCACATTCATCGTACTTACTAATTACCGGAAGGTCCCGGGTTCGAGTCGCAGTCTCCTCGCATTGCACAGGCGAGGGTAAGGCTTGCCACTGACACCCTTCCCCAGACCCCGCACAGAGCGGGAGCTCTCTGCACTGGGTACGCCCTTAAAGCCTTACAGATAGATTTTAGCAACCAATTGTGTCCTGTCCCCATGTTAACCTAAACGATCAATGGTCAATGATGTATGTTGCTTATAACTGTTTAAATTGTTATTTTTGTGCCAAGTGATAATTAAGATGCTGTGCAAATAAACTCAAGGCTTTGGTTATGTGGCCGCTTGTATGTTCTCAGTGCAGATTACATTTGTTTGTTATTGCTGGTCATGACCTCAAATGTAGTTTTTTTATTGTCTTTTATGTTTGCACTTCCCAGTTAATCTGAGAAGACTTGGAAGTATATAAATCAAAATATGTCATGCATAACATAATGGTGCGCCTAATATTCATTCACATTGCACTATTGCAGAGTATGACTTGAATGACAATCCACTTCAAGAGACAGTCAAACCTATGGTAGATGGTGGAACTGAGGGCTTCAAGGGACATGCTAGAGTCATTATACCTGGAACAACACCTTGCTTTGAATGCAACATATGGCTGTTTCCTCCACAGGTTAAGTTCCCTTTATGTACCCTTGCTGAGACACCAAGAACTGCAGCTCACTGCATTGAGTATGCTCACTTGATCAAATGGGATGAGGTACTATTCTTCTCTGCATATTATCTCTCTTCAAACCCCCACCCAACACTACTAACTGTTATATTTACTGTTGTAGGTCCATCCTGGAAAACTTTTTGATGCTGATGATGCAGAGCATATGCAGTGGATTTATTCAGAGGTATCTATATTGCAATGTCATGTAACTTATTTTATTACTAGTCTGCTTCTAAATCATTTGACTGACATACATATACAGGCTTTAAAGAGGGCAGAGCTTTTTGGTATTTGTGGTGTTACATATTCTTTGACACAGGTTTGTTTTCTGTTTATTGACAAAGTTTTACCCATGATTTAGAATCTCAAAAAAAACTTTGTTTCTCCAGTTGATAGAACATGAGCATTTTTTATTGTCAACAATAGATGAATTCTAGTGCACCAACTTGAGTTTTTCCCTGGAGTCATAATTTATGGCATTAAATCTCTTTTGCATGTAAATATGTTAAACAATCCAACCCTGTTCTATTTAATTTTCATGTTCTAAGAGGATCAATTTGGGCCTGCGTATTTAAGAAAAATGGACTGCTGAATAGCTCATCTTCTTCTATGGCAGCTTGAGTCATATAAAAAGCTAGGTCAGTATAAGAATGGTTCTAAATTTGGGGTATATCTTCTTTAAGTTCCGTTAAGTAATGGAATGACTTATGTTTTAAATATTTGTCTTACAATATGGTAACTGGTTAACTGCATATACTCTACCATCTACCCTGGTTCGGATAATCTCTCCTGTTTAGCAGTTTATCTTTGGTTTTAGTGCCATTGCATATATGCTTATTTGTTGCTTTGTGCACAAAAAAGATTTATTTTTCTACATGTTTTACCTGGTGCGAAGGGCAGGCCTGGTGCAAGCGGTAGAGTCTTACCGCCTGTGACCGGAAGGTCCCGGGTTCGAGTCGCGGTCTCCTCGCATTGCACAGGCGAGGGTAAGGCTTGCCACTAACACCCTTCCCCAGACCCCGCACAGAGCGGGAGCTCTCTGCACTGGGTACGCCCCTTTGTTTTAGTTTCTTTTTAGACAATCATGCTTCTACTTGTCGGCACTTGACATTTTAATTTCCACAGAATGGAATCGAATGCTTTATCATAAATGTTTTTGTGCCATTTTTTGAATAGGTCAGAAAATTATTCTCTGGATGTATACTAGTATCTGGAATCATAATCTTTATTTTGTTAGTGAATCATAATCTTTATTTTGCTAGTGTTATACTCTTGTCAGTTTTCTTCTGTGTTTAGTTGATATGCCTACTGGTTCAAATTCTCCATTAGTTTGACAGTGGAATTCAGCTTTTGATGTGACACATAACTTTCTACTTGAAAAGTCTATTCTTAGGACAGTGACATATGTAGTACTGGCTAATGTTTTGTGAATTTCAGGGTGTTGTAAAAAATATAATCCCAGCCATTGCTTCAACGAATGCAATTATATCTGCTGCTTGTGCATTGGAAGCCTTCAAGCTTATTTCTGGGTGCAGCAAAAGTGTGTCAAATTATCTCACGTGAGTTCCATTGTTTCATAACCCATAGTTACTGTAAAAGTTGGTTTCCTCAAATGTAAGGACTAAATGAGTTATTTAAATGTTAGCCTGCTCGGATGTGCTATTTGGGCTGTAGCTGCAGCTGCACACATGTAAGCTGCTGAGCAGTAGCAGACCATCAGCAGCAGCTACTGCAGCCACAGCCCAAGTAGCAGTGTAGCACAAGCGATCACATTCACATCTTATATTATTTAGATTTAGAAATGCTTTTGTTTCAATCATTTAATCAAACCTGTGCCTGGGAACTGACCTACAATCGTATTTCTCCATTTTTTTTTACTTTGCATATTTGACCAATGATGAATCCTTAGTATACTACATGTTAGATTTTTTATTCGGCAAATACTCAGTGTAACACTATAATTTGGGAAATAAGCTGGTAAAATTATTCAATATATAGCATATAGATGCAATCATGTGTAGCGATAAATGATGCACATGCAATTTTTGAGAGAAACAGTGGTCCTTAACTAGATAAATGTATTATCCGACTGAGCATCTGTCTGTAGTGATTTTATTGTCGTCATCCTGATACCTTAAAAGTACACTAAACACCAATCTGTGAAAAAAATGGAAATAAACTTGAGAGGAATTTTAAATGAGAAAAAAGATTGATAAACAATGGTGCTCACTCATCTTGGATCCTATAAGTACCGGGATCTCATTATAACCCGTCTTGTCAACCAATTTTGCTGCCTATATGCCACTACAAAATGGTACCATCTGCACGAAGAATCCTTTATCAAGACTTAGCCCATTTTAATAATAATTAATAGCTACATTTATTAGACTTCACTGAACTAATCAAATACATACAGCATATGCAACTATGGATGCAAGTAGAATCTGAACTTTATGCGGACTATAGCATAGTAGTGGAACGAGTCGAGTTATGACTTAGGGCTTGTTTGGTAGAGCTCCTCCTGCTCTTGATTCTGTTGGGAATGATTCTATGGCTGAAAGTGATTCTCTATGGTTCTAGGATAAACTCTACATATCAAGTGATTCTGTGCGAGTTGAACTAGGGGTGGCTGTTTTTTCAGTACCCATCACTTCAGTACCAGACATGCCCTGAGCTTGCACGCTTAGGTGTTGTGTGTTTAGAGTTGTTGGGGCTGTATTTAAGACTTTAAGTGGTCTTGGGGCTGTTGTGAGTTAATGGAATAATGTCAAAGGAAAAAATTATTGGGACATTTTGGCCAATGTCACAAAATAGGACCGAGTGTTTTTGCTTCCCAAAGCTAGTGCATAGCCTGGTGTATTCACGTTTTTTAGATTCCCCAGATTGAGGGAAATGAGTTTAAAGTACTAATTGAACGTAGAGGCCTTTAATATAAGTAGGTCTGGTGCTGAGTTTATCAATGTGGTTCTTCACGGGGTTACAAAAACACAACACATGCTCTGTTTGACAACTAGTGATTATTATGTCTATTTGCAGGTACAACGGTCTGGAAGGAACTCACATTAAAGTAACTGAGTTTATCAGAGACAAAGATTGCCTTGTATGTGGGCCTGGTACCCTTATTGAGCTGGATACATCATCTACCCTTTCAGATGTGAGTGCCAATGCCAAAACCTCACAAACCCATATCAGTGGAGGAAAATTGTTATTGCATGTGCAATTTCTTTCACCAGTTTTACCTTATTAAGGTACCTTATATGCTATGCCATGTCAATTGTGTATGCTAGTCCGTTGTAGTTGTAGAGTATGTTATGGATGAAGTTGTGAAAGAGACATAGATATGAAATGTTTTAAGCATGCAAAGGTATAAATTCTATCTATATTGCATATATACAGGTAATATGCATGTATGATCACAATCATCATATAACAACCAATCACATAGCTGAGCCCTAAAAAGACAATAATACCTGGGCATATTATTTGTTAGAGTAAATTCAAAAACCTAGAACTATTTGGACATTTTCGAGAAGAAAAAAAAAGAACTATTTGGACATTTTTATCAAATAACTACAAGTTCTAGACATGACTATGTCTGACCTCATGGCATGCAACATGGCTCCATGAGGTGAACATGTGGGGTTGGTCTCAAGACTGCAGGTTTTTGAGACTGCCAAAATTGATGTAGTTTTTTTTTGTAACATGCCACAGAAGTCGTTAGCTTTTTCATACACATGTCAAATAGCAGTAGGTTTCTGAAATTTACTCTATTTGCTAATGCAAGGTGCCATGCTATATATGAGCTCAGGGGTAACTCTAAATGGTTGGTTTGCATACATTTATGCAAACCTTTCTCTGTAACCACTTATTTATCTGCTGTTTGATCTATCTAAAGCCTGTTTGCCTGATTGACAGTTCATCAAGATGCTCGAGGAGCATCCAACGTTGCGGATGTCAAAAGCCAGCGTGACGCACGAAGGTAACAACCTGTACATGCAGTCACCGGAGGTGCTGGAGCAGATGACACGGCCAAACCTGAGCGTTCCCATGTTTGAGCTCCTCAAAGAGGTCAGATACACCACTGTCCATGCCACGGGCATGGCAGAGAACAACGGGAAGAAAGTGTCCTCGTTGAGGAAGCTCCGTGTGGCCTTCAAGGGCATCGAAGAAGCCTCCAAGATGGATACGACCCTGAGCTCATGATGCCATTGTCATCTTCTTGTTGCTAATTTTAAGTCTCCCAGGAGAGATGAGGATTAACCCAATGTTTTTGGACAGGTTAAGTGTAGTTTTCAAGCGCCACAATACAAATTGAAATGTGCGCTTGATAATGTTCAAACATGAAGAAATTTATGGATTAGATGATACTGTGGTTTTGTGTGAATCGACTTCATTCACGTATTGGTATGGTATGACTGTCAATCTGTCATTTCTTCCATGTTGTATATTATGTGTTCTTTGTCAAGTGTATCACAGCCTATATACTATAGGGCCATATGGCCCATGAGCTTTTTACACATTGCTATCTCCACTAATAGAGTGATTATTTGGTGTGATCTCTGTTGTGAAATATTCTATGGACGAAATACATGTTCAATGCACAGGACGCAGCGTGCACGTAGGGAGGAGGATAAACAAATGTTCCATCTGTCCCAAAATAAATGCACGTCCTGCATTACGAGTCAAACTTTTTTCAAATTTGACTAGAAATATAGGATTAATATCAACATTTGTATCTCCAAATAAGTATATTATGAAAGTATATATTCCATACTCGATCTAATGATATTTATTATATATCATAAATATCAATACATTTTATATATATATTTGATCAAATTTTAAAAAGCTTGATTTCTCAGATGCATTTATTTTGGGATCGAGGAACGTGGAAAAAAAATCTGGATGGCTCACGTGGGGAGGATGATAAACAGATAGGTGGAAGAAGAATCTAGATGGCTCTACCTGTCTGTTCTATCTATAAAAAGAAATCGGGTACGCCCTGTGTGCTAGGGATGCACATGTGTGCACGTGGGGAGATTGGTAAACAAATAAGCAGCAGAAGACTGTATCTGTCTCTGTTTCATCTATGAAAAGAGATTGTGGGGTGATAACTTGAGCAACAAGAATACTCTGTACACGAGTTACTAATCAATAGACTGATTTCTCAACACGTTATTAGTGCGAGTTTTACCAAGTTCAAAGACAGGAGGCGGGGGAGAGGGAATTTTGTCAGCACGCTGAAAGGCAAGAAGTGAGGGATACTCAATGAGCACAAGAATAGTATTTACATGAATGAGCATGAGCACACCACTTGTGGCTATCTGACGCACCACGATACCATGGTCAGCCCGGTAGTGTCGTCCCTCTCGTGGTCCTGAAGTGTCAAAAACCAATGTCGTCAGTGTCTCGGAGCATGAAGGCGGCGCCTATGGACGCGTTGGGTTGCTCGCATATGGCTGGGCCAGGCTGCCGAGATGCAAGGCGCATGCGTTTGGATGCCTGCATCTAGCCTTGGGCCAGGCCCATCTCATGCAACCAACCCCCACCGGCCAGGCTCCCGAAAAACGCAATTGTGGCGAGGCGCTTTCATGCGGTCCCCACGTTGTATTCTCTGTCAACCAAACAACTTCTTCCTGGATCCTGCATCTGCACGCCCAAACAACAAAATACGAGCCTGGCCGCCGGTAGCATGCACGCCGGATGCGATGCAGGCAGCCCACAGAAGACAACCAAACGCGCTCTATGACTCCGTTTTCGTCCGAGCACCAGAGACGGATGAGGTGTGCGAGGTAACATCAATGACATAATGTGGTCTGCATGGATGGCCTAAGAGCCCCGTTGTAAATTATGAAGGATGGAACCCCACTCATGTCTCCCAAAATAAGCTAGTATTCTAGGAGTTGGCGAGAAACCGAGAGGAAAGGTAAAATGACAATACTACCCTTACAAAGCATCCGGTTATTTCCTTTTTATTAGTACAAGTCACATTTTTTATTTCTTTGGTCTTCATCCTACGCTGCTCCACGAGTATGCCTGTTTGTTTCGGCTGTGGATTATAAGCCAGAAGTACTGTTGGCTGGTTTGGTGTGAGAGAAAAATACTGTTTCAACTTATAATCCACGATCGTATATGTTGAAACGAACTGGCTGTAGCTTATGTGCTCTGTGCCACCTGCTGTCATACATTGAACATTGCGCCATTTGTTTATTTATTCCGGGATAAAATTTGAATCGCGGTCGCACGATTATTTTGCACAGAGGTAGTACTGCTCTAAGCAGCCATGACTCCCGCCCCATATATATTAGAGAGAGAGAGAGAGAGAGTAGGCTTAAGGCTAAGCTAGGCCAAATAGATGGTGTGTGACTGTGTGTTCTGTCGATTTTGAAATTAAGCGGGTGCACGAACAATCCTTACAGCAGGCTATTGAGCAATTCACGCACCTTCCACTACTGGATTCATGTTCTTTGCCGAGTGCCTGAGGCACTCGGCAAAGGTCGATTGCACTCGGCAAAGCCTTTGCCGAAAGTGTGCACTCGACAAAAAAAACACACGGCAAAAAATTGATCGGCAAAGCCTTCTTTGAAAGTGTATTTTATCGGGCACTTTCGGTAAAGAGTTTTGCGAAAGTGCCCCGGGACACTCGGCAAAGAAAAGCTACCGTCAAAGGCGCCGGTCTCGTTAGATGATCACTTTGCCGAAAGTGCCAACCTCAGAGACAAGCAAAGATTTTTTTATTTTTTTAAAAATTTTTTGCCGAGTGCCGACCAAATGAGGCGCTTTCGGCAAAGATTTTTATTTTTTTAAAAAATCTTTGCCGAGTGCCAACCCGTGAGGCACTCGGAAAGAGCTTTTATTTTTTTTGAAAATTTTTTTTTGCCGAAAGTGCCAACCCACCAGACGCTTCGGCAAAGATTTTTATTTTTAAAAAATTTCTTTGCCGAAAGTGCCAACCGGAAGACACTCGGCAAAGAGCTTTTATTTTTTTTGAAATTTTCTTTGCCGAGTGCCAACCCGTGAGGCACTCGGCAAAGATTTTTATTTTTTTTAAAAAATCTTTGCTTTGAAAGTGCCACCTGAGAGGCGCTTCGGCAAAGATTTTTATTTTTTTTATACGTGGCAAACCAACCACTAGCTGACATATAGCACTGTAAATTGTATTTTTGATATATTAGTGCTCACGAAAAAAAATACATACATGCGATAAACATATAAGATACATATGCAAGAGACCAGGTCCACTTAATTCGAAGGGTAATAAATGGTAGCAAAATGTACCAATAACAACATGATCACCCCATGAGTCCAATGGCTGATTAGATACACACACGACTTGAAGCTCAAACGAAATAAAATGTTTTGAAAAACCAGTTACAACCAGAGAGTCTGAACTAGCTACATTATATATTGCCAATTCTACACTTGAAATGATCCTAGAATAAAATCGCACATATAAAAGAAACCATATTTGATGCGCCACAAAGAGACAATGGATCCATTAATCGATAGCCATATATAGGGCCCAACATCACTCAATAATCAATACCGAAAAAGTTTGATCGCACAAAATAAGCTTAGATAAACGTTACATGAGGAGAAACAAAAAGTTTCAGGTACTCTACATGGAAACTTCAAATAAAATAATAGGATTCTAAGGATGGGCAATTGATGACCAGCAGCATGAAGTTATAATCTGAAAAAGTTCCAAAAATGGAGTCAATTGGATATTATGATTAGTAGTTTGGGAGAGTTTTCTAGTTATGTCAATTAGCAATTTCTAATGCATCTGCAGAAATTTGATTATTCTTTAAAGCCAAACAATCGAGTTAAACGTGTCTCGTGCAAAATCACGATCTTAACAAAATAAAGTAAAATCACAATGGACAAAAAATTGTCCCTAAGTTAAACTTTCAGCTTTTTATGCAAAAAATTCAAGGTAAATCTGATAATTTTGTGGAGTTCATTACCATGGATGCTTCAGCAGAATGCGAAAGTTTAACATGGTTGGGACGTTGGGTGTCCTTGATAACTTCGTTTTTTCGTTGTTAATCATATTTGTGTGATAACTAGTTTGATGCTTTGATGTTCTATAAAACCAAGGAAAGGTTTGTGATCTTTGTTTTCTCAATAAACATGAGCAGCGTTAATTAGGATAGGTTCTTTCGCATCAAACGTGGGTGAATAATGAAGTACATGGTTAGAAAGGATGCATGGTACCTTATAGTTGAATGTGTAATCTTAATGTTCTATATGTTGTGACGCCAATCGCAAATCGCAGGAGGTCGGGGTTTGGTACACCGTGCAATTGCCAAACTATTGCCCTTCTTTTCAACAATAAATTGCTTATCACTTTGAACCTTTAATATGCAAAACAAATGATAAGGTGGGTAGCTAGTGAATGATCATTTGAAAGTGGCAATCGAAAGAAGGAAAGGCCTTATGACTTTCCCTGTACAATCAGCAGGTGAGCCGCGATTTATTGGACTATCGCCAAGACAACCGTCAATTGAAATGGCAAATTAGAAAGTTAGAAAACAAACATTCAGATATTGGATAGATGGAAAGGAGGTAAATGTAAGGAAACAAAGAAAAAGCAGAAAGTGGCATTTTATTTTAATGATTTTGTTTGCAGACCCTATCGTCACTATTCGGCATCATAATCTAGAAGTATGGGTTAAGTGTAGAAAAATATGAACCTAGACTTACGTCATGTGATTGACATCCCTGCAAGATAGGTGGCTTTTTCCTATTTTTGCATGGTACAAATGGAACCGACACTAACATGTACTCGGTTCCAAATATATACACGAAGGCAATGCCATGAAAAATGTAAAGTAATACTTAGAGCAATCAGATTTGAGTCAATTAGCCCAATTTGAATGCATCAAGCATATACATAGGAAGGGCATACCACAATTAATAAGCAGTAATAGTGCAATAGTATATAAACGTCGAATAGGCACATGGTGTACGTGCTTTTGAAGAAAAAATAGTGTTTTGCAAAAGATAGTACCTGAATTAATAAGCAGGTATGTAGTGCAATTTTTTTGTGGCTTTTTTATATATTTAGTTACTTTATTTTGTTTACTTGAATTTTTTGAAAAATATAAATTTGAAATTTGCACTGTAGATGCGAATAATGGAATTTAATGATTCAAAAATGATAGTCGTATGTTTTTGAGTGTGTGTGAGGCCGTATCCGAGGAGCGAACCCGAAATTTCGGACATCTTGTTCACAAAACATGACCCGCGAACTTGCGTGCGTAGTGTTTTAAGTTCTATAAAAGCAAGCGATGAGAAAATCATAAAACTTGTTGAGATGTCGTATGGAGGCTATGATAAAAATTTGAGAAGGTTTGGTATGCGTTGTCACGTGCGATGCATACAAACGGGACATCTCCACATGTGATCGGATATCACATGTAGAGATGTCTGGTTTGTAAGCATCGTGACGTGACAAAATGTAATGAAATCTTCTGAAATTTTTATCATAGCCTCCACATATGATATCACGACATCTCAACAAGTTTCATGATTTTTGACTTTCGTTTTTTTTATAGAATTTAAAAACACTTCACACGCAATTTCGCATGGACATGTTTCGTGAACAAGATGTCTAAAATTTCGGGTCCGTTCTCGGATACTACCTCTCACAACACTCACTAACATGACTATCAATTTTCGAATCATTAAACTCCATTATTCGCATTACTTGCAGCTCAAATTTCTAATTTTCGGAAAAATTCAAGTAAACGAAATAAAGTAACTAAATATAACAAAAAGCCACAAAAAATCTCCAAATTGTAACTAGGAGTTCCTGATGCTTTAAAAGGGCTGCACAAAAAAATTGGAGGCAAAAAACAAAAAAACAAAAAAAACTTTGCCGAGTGCCGACGTATGGCACTCGGCAAAGGGTGTCTTTGTCGAGTGCCAAACATTAGGCACTCGGCAAAGAGTGTTTTAATTTTTTTAAAAAAAATTACTCTTTGCCGAGTGCATCCACAGGAACACTCAGCAAAGAAAATATAAAAAAAATTAAATCTTTACCGAGTGCCGTGCCAGAGGCACTCGGCAAAGTAATTTTTTTTAAAAAATTTCTTCGCCGAGCGCCAGATCTGAGACGCTCGGCAAAGAATTTTTTTAAAAAAAAATTAAATCTTTGCCGAGTGCCAGATCTGGCGCACTCGGCGAAGATTTTTTTTTTAAAAAAAAAACAAATCTTTGTCGAGTGCCTAACAGCACGGCAAAGAAGGCCGTGATCGAACGCTGTTTCGCGGGCAGCCTATGCCGAGTGTAGAAATTTTGCCAAGAGTCTAGCACTCGGCAAAGAAGGTCTTTGCCGAGTGCGGCAAAGAAGGTCTTTGCCGAGTGCCCAATTTTTGACACTCGGCAAAGAATTTTGCACTCGGCAAAGTCTCTGTTTCCAGTAGTGTTCCAGCTATAAACAAAGTTCAGATATTGATGGAGTAAAAACCTTTGTAAATCCCCAGCAGGAGCGAGAAATACAAAATCATGTTATTCGCCAATTTGCCTTCTATAGCGATCTGGAAACAATACTACCAGTTCCGGCAATTTTGGTGGGTCTAGTTACATCGCGTCCTTGGAAAGCCAGTTATGGGTCGGGATTCCCCGAGAGCATTGGTGAGCTCATCGACGCCGTCTCCGCGCTCGAATACAGCAGCAGCACCCATGCCAGAACCTGTCATCATCAGTACATGTCAAGGTGAGAAGGTATCTGTTACAATTTCCGCTCTAATAAAGCATCCATTTGATGCTGGTAAATGGAATACATTGGTAAATAAATTATGTACCTATGCACATAGAAATCACTCCGAACCGGCAATCCTTGCCACGGCGCTTCATCTCATTGAGAAGAGTACTGACACACCGTGCACCTGCCAAGTAGAAACCAATGCTACTGTCATCATCACTCAAAATGTAGTAATCAGGCTGCTCACCGGTCTCAATGTTTTGCAAAGTTAGTCCAAGGCACACACATAGTCAAATGAAATGAATCTGTGGAACATAACAATCTGGAATAGCAAATGGCAAATACCTGTAGCACCCAATGGATGTCCAAGAGCCATTGCACCGCCGTTAACATTGACTTTAGCAGGATCAAGTTCCAACTTCTTGCAGCAGTAGACATACTGAGATGCAAAAGCCTATGGAGAAGAGAAAGTAAATATTACCTGGCAATTCTGGTTTTATGATTTTGTCTAGAGAAAGAACTCAAGAGACAGTTCAAAATATACCTCATTGATTTCAAAAAGATCAATGTCATCCATCTGGAGGCCAGCAGCTTTCACTGCTGCAGGGATTGCAACGGCAGGACCAATACCCATTACAGCTGGATCAACTCCGACAGCGGCAAAGGTCCTACATTTGCACATTCAGATATATTGCTCAGCCTCTTAACAGAAATTTACAGTAATTAATGGTATCATAGGCTAACAATGATAGTGTCGACCAATGGAATTTCTTAGTAAAACTATTGTGCTGTTTGGTAGAAGCGTTGGTAACACAAATGTAATGGATTTAAAGCTACGGATGTTACCGCAAGCCATTCGATTTGAACTAATATTATTTCCGTTTGCATTACTGTAGAGCGAACCAAACACTGCCTAAGGTGTTTAACTGCTTTTGGTCCTAGCAGCAAAACGGAGCAAGGACTAGATCACTAGATTGATTGCATATGTACTGGACATCATATGGGGACAGTAATGATACCTAAAGACACCAAGAATTGGAAGACCCTTTTTCATAGCAACATCCTGTCTCATTAGCAAGACAGCCCCAGCGCCATCGCTCAATTGGCTTGCATTCCCTACAGTTAAACAACAATGAACTTTTGTGTGGATACTACTAATGGACAATCACGAAGCAGGTAGAATTCACTATTAATTACCAGCAGTGGTGGTGCCATCCTTTGAAAATGCTGGTTTGAGTTTTGACAGGACTGCAAGCGAAGTATCTGCTCGGATTCCATCATCTGCTGAGACTACGATCTTCTTTTCCTCACCAGTTTTTGGATCAACAATCTTTATAAGGTAACATTGTGTTAGCACATAACACAGAAGAAAATTTCACCTTTTTAATATGTCAGAAATCTTCAATAGTTAGCATAGTTACTTCACAAAGGTAAATTAAACTACATTACCTTTGTATGAACTGGCACAATTTCCTCTTTGAATTTACCAGCAGCTGCTGCGGCAGCAGCCTTTCTGTGTGACTCAACCTACACAACAGGATAAAGATTAATAAGACTTTAAAAGCAAGAAGCATATTGTGAGACAGCAACCCATAGTCTCATATACACACAAAAACGAACCACAGAACGGGAATCAAGCAACTTACAGCAGCTTGATCTTGCTCCAGTTGTGTTATGCCAAAACGGTGTGCAACATTCTCAGATGTGAGGCCCATTGGGAGAAGGCAATCGCGTGCTTGAGAAAATAGCTCAACCTAAAACAGTAGAAAGATTCCAGACAAAAATCAATCAGATCAAAGATGTTTGCACATGTATCTAAATATGCAGTTTTGTTGTATCGACCCAACATGTTACACTTACTTTGGGGTTCACTTGCCCAATAAGATTAACTTTATTCACAGTCATGGACTCCAAACCAGCAGCAATACCTTGATTGGAGAAAATAAAACCCAATTCTTCAACCAATCCAAAACAAAACAAAGTAACCTAAAATCAGACGGCAACAAATCCTACCAATGTCATAGAGTCCTGCTTTAATAGCAGTAGCAACATCTGCAACTGCCTGAAGGCCAGATGAGCATTGCCTGTTTACAGTCTTAAGAGGAACAGTGTCTGCATCCAACCAACAAATTGATCAAGGCGGGGATGATGGTTGTCCGACATCACAGGAAGATGCAGCAGAGGAAATGTCATTACCAGGGAAACCGGCATAGAGTGCAGCCATTCTGCATTCGATTGCCCTCTGGGACCCAGGAGCTAAGACAGTACCGACAACAATGTCACCAACTTCACTTGGGTCCAGCTTCGTCTTGTCTATCAAAGCCTATGGTTGAGGGGAAAAAATATGTAAGTCCCAAGAATAATGACAAGAAATCAATCACTAGTTTGACAATAAGCTGCATAAAGTGGAATAACACGATAAGCGCAAACCTTGAAGACAGGAACCAAGAGGTCCTCAGCGAAGGTATCCTTGAAACCCCCCTCTTGGCCTTGCAAATCGCTGTCCTGTAAGCACTGGAGGCAGAAAGGGTATGCAATGAATCATATTTCTTCCATGCTTAATAAGAGAAATAATAATAAGTAACAAAAAGAAGAAGAAGAAGAAGAAACAATTCTATGTACAGAATTATTCCAAACTATCAGGTGTCTAATGGTAAGATCCAATAAGTATCTACTAGGTTTGTCCGTCTGAACCATTACAGTCAACAGGTGAGTCTAGCAGCGCTCCCTACTGACTTCCAAAAAAGGGTGATGTTTCCCATTAGAGTCAGTTTGACTAGCAGCCAGAATCCAAAATTCACCGCAACGCATCATTGCAGTCGATGCCACGGGGGCGATCGACCATAATTCTACACGGTCCTGTCGCTGATTCTCCTAGGATCCATCGCCGGACAAACGGCCAGACAAAAACAGCCGAAAACAAAGGGAATTCCCGCAGCAGTCCAGTCGCAATCAAAAGCTTTAACAAAAAAAAAAGAAGCCGCCTGCCGATCAAAGCACAAAAGGCCAGGGAGCCGAATGCCACTTACGCGACGATGACGACGTCGTCGGCGAAGGCCGGCGTCCGGTGGTACGCCGCGCTGTGCCCCGCCGCGCACGCGCTCGCCTGCCACGCACCCACCCACACACAGCACCCTCGTCGGTCAGTAACAGATCTGGGGGCCGGATATAACGCCGCCGAAGCGGTCGGACCAGCGATTTGGCCCGAGTAAGGGACGGGATTCTCACGGAGATGGCGGGAGGGCGGCGCTCGCCGCCGCCGCTGCGGGGTTGAGGTGCCGCAGCAGGACACGCTGCCTGTCGATGGCCTTCTCCATTGCTTGACTCCTTTCCTTGGCTGCTCGCTCCTGGTCACTACTTGCTGCAGCAGGTACTCGGTACTCCCGTCCTCTCGTGCAGGGTCGGACGAGGTTGTGGCTTGTGGGGTTATTTGTAGGAGGGGAGGCGACTGCCGCGCCGCCGTGGTGGGTGGGGAAGGGAAATCGCGGAGGTTTTACCGGGAAGTTTGGGGGGAGGAAGGGCGGGACGGCCGACGGGAAGCCGGAGAGGAGACCTGGTGGTATGGGACTACGGGAGGCGTGCGTGAGTCGAGGTGTTCCCGCGCGCCAGGGAAGGCTCGGGATTGCTGCTGCGTTGCCGTACTGCGTGGGCCTGTGCTGTGTGGGCCTGTGGCCTGTGAGGCTCCTCCGTGTGAGGACGGATCGGGCGGACCGCGGACGGACGGGAGTCCTGGTCGCGGTCCCGGTCAGTCGTGCACGCAGAGGAGAGTGTTTTCCACGCGGTGTCGCGGTGTGTTCCGTGCAAGCGCGGGGAAGAAACGCCCCCAACGGCTGGATGGGGCCTGGCCTAGCGCCCATAGGAATGGGGGCTGGTGAAAAGATTTGGGTCAATGGGTGCCCATATAAATTTGGAGTTCTCAGGGCTCTACTGAAGTTGTAGTAGAGGGCCCGCGGAAGTTGCTCTTACACGGCAAATAGCTCCAACCAAAACAAAAATTTGAGCCTCGCAGTTACAGCATAGTTTATATGTCTAAATTAGAGCAACACGAGGAGACTCTCGGTATCCATATCCTAATAGATTGAAATAGAGGTTTTAGTAAAAAAATGTTTCCAACAATTTTTTAAATTGGTTATTCAAATATAGTCATATTATATTCTGGATTTCTCGCTAGCCAAATATAGAATACGAGAATAGAGTGCAAACAAGATAAAGAAAAAATGTTAAGTAGTAGAAAGATATAGAAAATATTTTTTTATGAAATGACATTCCAAATGATGATTAAAAGAGCGAGCTTTAGAAAGACTCTTACAGATGCTCTTATGCTGCAACCAATTAAATGGTTTGTTTTCCAAAACTTCTCATATTCATGCTTCTTCTCGTTGTTTCCATTCATCGTATCATGACACTGTGAAAGAGCGAGTTTTTTTAAAAGGTGTTCTCTCTGTTATACTCGTCCATCTGAATCCTCCGTCATCTGAGGAGTGTAAGACTTGTAAAAATTTGACGGTTAGAAAGCTACAATGTTATCCCTCTTTCAATTACATTGGACTGTGTGTAGCTCATATTATTTTTGAGCGTGTTTATAAGCATATGAGATTTACTGTGGTTGAGCCTATATGGTGCATAGGCCCCACCTCCCAATACGAGAGACTCTTTAGCCTGTGCGTGGTGCGTATTATTTTTTAGCGCGTTTACAAGGGTACGAGTTTTACTATGGTTGAGCCTATGACGCATAGGGCCCCACCTCTCAATCCTCCACTCCTTATCCGTATCCATCTATCTTCTACCCCTCATGCTGCCACTCTTCCCCTGTCGCCAGCCCAGCCATGGCACCATCCATGTGTCATGTACTGGGCCGATGAATGGGCTTCCAAGTTGGGCTGCGGGACCGATGGATGGGCTTCCAAGCTGGGCCTTGGATGGGCTCCAAGGCCTTAGCTGGACAGGAGCCGAAGGGATAAAGTCCAGGGCTGCTTCGGGAGAAGGCATCGAACCAGAACCGACCAAAGTCGTCTTCCTCCTCGAGTCTTCTGTCCGAACCTGTCCCTCTTGCTGTTCTTGCTTCCCCTCTCTGATCCTTGCTATTTCCGGTCTAAACTCCCTCTGATTCTCCAGATATTGTATCAAATTACCCTGGTAACAGTGATTGGTAGTCAAGGTTCGTGACAATTGGTTATCAGAGCCTTCGATTCTTGAGCCCCAAAATTTTCCCCAAATTTCCCCCCCAAATCGATTGATCCCCATGGCTTCCATGGGAGGTATTCTTCGTGTCACCGTGAGCCACATGCCTTGGTCCTTGCCAGATGCGGTTTTGCACCAGGTCTTTGGACCGTACGGTGGGAACAAGGTGTTTGTTCTGGAGATGACAAGTCGTATGGTGGCGTACATCTTCTTCCTCCCAGACCATGATGCATCTGGAGCTCAAAGGGCACTCCATGGACGCTGCATCTATGATAACTGCTGCTGGATGGATGTCCAGATGGTGTCGCGGCCTTCCACCTGCAGCAGCGGTGTGCAGGCCACCAAGACGGTCCCTGCAGCAGCTACGCCATCAATTCAGCCATCTTGCACGACATCGCCGTCCGCGACCTCCGCCCCGACGACGACAGTCACGGCAGCAGCTGCGCCGCCCACACCGACAGCGCCCTCGGGTCGCGTCCCTGCGGTTGCTGCGACTTCGACCCCGGTGTCACCGTCGACTACTTCGCCGATGTGCTCTGCCCTGACGACGGCCACGACACCAGCTGCGCCGCCCACGCCTGCAGCACCCTCGGTCGCGTCCACAGCTTCCACTACATCTCCTGCCCCGACACCAGCCGGATCGCCCACCACAGCCGCTTCAGCGGTTGCGTCCGCGCCGGCCCTCTTCAGCGCAACGGCCGCCACCTCGGCCGCGAGCAACCCCGACTGCTTCGGTGCGTCGTCGCCTCCACGCGCCGCCGCGGCCATCGTCTTCCGGCTTCCGACGCCGGATTCCCTCACCGCGAAGAAGAAAATCGCCAAGAAGTCTGTTCGGGCGCTCATCCCCCTCGCCGTCGGCTACATGGCATGTCGGGGATTATAACCGAGGAGGAAGAAAGATAACGGCGACGATCGTTAATCGGTCTTGATGGTCCTAAGACCCCGTATTTATGGTCTCGCTTGACCTTGAGGGCGCGGACTTCGTCTCGTTCGACTTCAAGGGCGCGGGTCCTATCTCATCCGACACCGAGGGCATGAGCCCCGTCTTATCAGACCCTTTGGGCGTGGGCTCCGTCTCGCCCGACCCTGAGGGCGCAGGCTCCGTCTCGCGAGAACTCTCGGACGCGGGTTCTGTCTCGTCTCGACGGGATCTATACCAACTCCAACCACTACGGGTCTAAGATTACGACCCCAAGGTCAAACTTCTGACACCAAGAGGAAAGCGGGCACGTTTCGACGTGACCTGTGGCCACGACGGACCATACCTGTGGGCTCACGTCGCCAACAGTGTCGGGCATGACGGCGCTGTACTGCCTAATTTCCGTACGACTTCTGACAGGAGTACCTATTGACCACGCCGCCCGTCGAAACAGAGTGGAGCGTCGCGACTGGCTGACGACGCCTGCGTATGGCGCCACTAACGAACAGGGCCACGACGTGGAGGCATCTCTGTCATCATCTACAGGACCGGTGGGACCCGCATAAAGGAGATGAAGAACGCCGCGACCCTAGACGCCTTCTTGTCTCGCTTTTCTCCTTTAAGTCGGATACAACGTGAGCCCTCGGATCAAACCGACTTAAACAATGGCTTAGATGCATCCTAGGAGGTGGTGGGAAACCGACATAGCGACGAGACAGACAGGTGGGCCACGGATGGGCCGGGCAGAAAGCTTGTTAGTATATTTTCCCGCACACAGATAATCTGCAAGCGCACAGATATTGTTGTAGCTTTCACCCGAAAGTATTTCAAGTATCGTATCCACTGGAAAACATATGAGACTAACTACGATCTAACTTAACGAGGGGTAGTGAATAGGTTAAGGGTTAATTTATCTAGGACTAGGAGTAGCAACAATGTTAGGATAAACATGAGCGTAGAGAGGACAACTGAGGTTCTCTAGTTCTGACTTGGGTAAGCTTATGTCTTCTACTGTTCAACCAGGGACATTACTAGGGAAAGACACCAGCAGAGGATGCTTTCCTTCGTAACCGCGTTCTACGTGCGCCTACAGATGGGGGGTGGACTACAAAGGATCAATGTTGCTATATAGTACAATGCTATATAGTACTGATGTCACACACGCGATCTACCACCGATCTGGAATACAAGGTGCATCCACGATTAACCAAAGTCTAAGCACCACGCTTACACTGACGATTAATACTCTACTCCCTCTAGTGCAGGAATAAAGCACTTAAAAGAGTCGTGAACCTGAAGAACAATATAAACAAGATACTTACTTGAATCAGAAGTTGATTACCAGAGAAATCTCAGAAGCAAGCTCAATTAGAACTTGAATCCGCCAAGGTACAAGCCATAGAGAGAGCACCGACAGGCCAACATCTTCTCCAAACTCTTCCCTCACTCTCTATCTCACTATTTCTATTTATAAGACTAAATCCTATAGAAGACTAATCTTCTCTTGATAGCTAGCTCTGATCCTCATGAGGAGAATATGAATTAGGGTTTCAGCATCTGATTAGGGAGGGGGTAGGGGTTGCTATATATAGGCCAGAGGTAGAGTAGCGGCCAAGGAATTGAGGTGGAGTAAGGGGCACGGACTCTAGGAGGAGTAGGGGCAAGGAATTGCCATGTCATCGATCCGCGTCATCTCTCCCGACCACCATTGGATGAACCGACCTAAAACCACCTTAAAATCAACGGTGTAGATCATAGGAAGGCACGGCGGCGGAGGGTGATGGGCCACCCCCATGGGTTGGGCGGCCTCCCTAGTGGGCCGGCCGGCCCACTATGCTGCTAGGTGGGCTCCTCCTTCTGGTGGCGAGGCTTGGGCTCCGTCTTGGGTCGACTTTCATAGGTGTCACAGGTAGAATCACTTGTTGTCGCCGGTTTGCTCGTTTGGAGTGTATGCAGTGGTCCTGGAAGCTATTTTCTAGATAAATCCTCCTGCAGTCATGAAATCACCAAAGCTCATCGAATTCATTAGTTTAAACCCCTAAACCTTCATTGGTGATTACATTTATGCCATTATCCATGTTTAATTGACGATTTATAATGGTTGTTAACTACCGTCAATAATTCCCCCAAGCTTAACCTTTGCTAGTCCCTTAGCAAAGCTAAACTCAGCAGTGGATCAGGAGTTGCTACTATGCTTTTACGCCTCAAAAGTACATAGGTGTTTAATAAAAAATTCTCCTCCGGATTAGAATAAACTTATCTGACTTTCAGACTTACCCATATTACCTTCAACCATGGGGCTTCTCAGTCTTCACTTGGGTCTTAAGCAATTGAAAGACAGAACGATCAAGTCAAGCACTATGTCTCAAGTTAGTTGTTCCACCATTGTTCTAGAGTTTTTATAAGTTTTTAAAATAAAACTCAGAGATTTCATTGTATGACACTCTTAAGTCTCTCAATATATGTGGTATTTGTGGATCCTCACCAAGACAATAATGATGTTATGCCTTTTTCTCTTCCTACTATTAAGACTTATGTGGAGTTCATAGGTAGGGAGAAAGCTAGAGCATACTTGCGATGCATATATTGTAAAGTCAAACCTCGGATCCAAAGAGAGTTGAGTCATACAATCAAATCAAGATGTGCATGTGTGTGGAATATATGGTGGCTAACCTAATTCTACTATGCTCCTAGAAAAACTTATCTCTCTTTTGAAATTTAGAAACATTTGCTAGAGAACGGGGGCTATCTTATTCATCTCTTCTTTTTTCAGGTGGGCATCTGAGTATCTATTGTTTTAAATATCTCGGACACTTTTGTATCCATTTTTTTTCTCATCTCTTTTTTTCTTCTCTCCTTTTTTAATAACTTTTGCATAGCTCCATGTCTTTTTCTGCAACAAAACTTTTGAGAGATAGCAACAATGTAACACCCTAAAATTAGCTACTTTCTAAAAGAGTAAAATGATTTCTGTTAATTATTTTGTGCTCATAAAAACATAGGTAAAAGAAAATTTTCTTTAAATTAAAATCCAACATAAGGATAGCAACATGTTTGCGCATACATGCCGTTGCATTGGTACTTTTGTGATGAGTGGTTTGGAAAATAAATTCAAATCTCAATCTTCAAAATATTATCTTCAAGTAGTGGTTTAAAAAGAATTTGAAAACTTGCAAAAACAAAAGTTAGATAAGATGCTTTATTTTCAAAATCCAAAGGCTTGGAAAAGGTTTTAAGATGCGTTAGAATAATGCCTCTCTTTCCAGGAATCTTTCCGACCTTTTTCAGAATTAAATTCCAATTTCTTGGAGCTTTGTCTTTTTCCTCAATCAATCCAAAAGTCTTTTCCGGGAGCTAAACCACTTTGGTTGTGTTCCTTATCCTTCCATCTATCCCTAGGAATTTTTATAGTATTTTTTGGAGCTCAGAGATATTTTTTGGAGCCTAAATAGTAATTCTAGATTTTTTGGAATTATTTTAATTCCAAAAATCAATGATTTCTAAAATATCTTCACTTTCCAAAATCTTCCAACCCTACGTGTGTATATATATATATATGCGGTGTTCGTCTCGACGTGAGGATTCTAGAAGTACAGCCCGTTTTTCGAGCCGCCACTCGTAGCCTCACAGATCGGACGTCGAAGTTCTGCATCTCGTTTCCGACGAACTTTTCCGTTCGGCGAGGGTTTCTGGCCATCTCGGCATCCCCTATGAAAACCAGCATCAGTCCGAGGTTTGTCCCGATCTCCTCTTCACCGTCTTGCCATCCTTTTCGCGAATCCGTGCCCGTTCATTGTTTCCCTAACCTCTCTTTTGCTTTTTCGGTGAGGAGCACCATGGCCGGCCATGTTCTTCGTCTTCTCCGGCCAGCCGGTCGCCCTGCGCCTCTCCTTCGGGCACGTCACGCCTTGGGACGAACAGCCCCACGCCTCCCGTGCCGCCGCCCGCCAGCGCGTGCGTGTGCTCGCTTTTCATGATCAGGCGGGGGCGCTGCCGGCCGCCGAGCCCGTCGCGAGAGAACGCCCTCACGTCGCCGCTGGCCGCCCGGCCCGTTTGCCGCCACCTGGTAGGCCCCACGCCACGGCCCCGTGATGCCCGTCCGCGCCCGTACGCAGCAGCCTACTTACCACTCGTGCGCAAGCGGGGGGTGTGCGCCGGCGCCGTCGTCTGCAATGCGCGCCCTGTGAGGGCCGTGTGCCCCGCGCAGGCAAAGCCAGTCGGCGTCTTTGCCATTGGTGGCCAAGCCGGCCATCACCGGTCCCCTCCGTGTGTAGCAGCATGCAACTCCCATGGCTGCCATGGCCACGTATGGATGGAGATGAAAGCCCAAGGTAGAAGATGCTCTAATTACGATTTTGCCATCCTGTTGTTAATCTTCGCCGTTTCAATCACTTTAGCTCTGTTTAGTCTATTTTCATTGCGCTGTGTTCGTAGCGATCGAAGATACATGTTAGCAGCGTCATCCAATATAACAAATGTTTCTGAATTTTAATATAAGGTATTAATTTAATTTATATTTATTCAATAACTTTCAATTAAAAGCAACTACATAGGGTTAACTTCGTTCTTGTCGTGTTAAATCGTGCCAATGTAAGGTACGCGTTAGTAGCAACGTTTATCACGTCACATATTCATAATATTATAATTTAAATATTAACTTGATTAATGATTACGTAAACTTGTTTCTAAATAATAACAACCTGGGACAGCATCCACATTTTATAATTACTTATTAATTAATGTCAACTTAAATATGTATTTATTAATTGTAATTTGCTTAGTTTAAACATGATTTATATAAAGTTAGTTAAGATGCTTTCACATGCATTTTTCTCTTGCAAAGTTAAAG